TATATATATATATTTTATTTGCCATCAAGGAGAAACTAGTGTCTCCCTACCAGTTGAAGTAAAGGGAAGGTTACAAAATCAAGAGTAGCAGGATGGGCTTGATGAATCAATACAGGAGTCATCAGTCCATCCACAACACAAAAAACAACAAATAGTCCAAAGGGCTATAAGTAAAACACGGAAGCATAATGGTTCCCAACAACATAAGGGAAAACCCACATAGAAACGGGCAAGGTGCAGACAAAATCAAATAGCCACCAAGGTCATAAGTAAATAGAAAAGTGTGACCACAAACCAATCCACCTCAGAAGGTGTGAACTTGAGGTATGCATAAATTATCTCCATGCAGTAGATAAGCTAACTCTGGAGAAGGGAAATTTGCCACAATAACTTATTCAGAACATCTACCAGAAGTGGCCAAAAGATGAGCTGGCCCATTGCCTTTCCTGTTGATATACTGAAATTTAACAGTGTAGCTGCCAAATTTCCTTTGAATTTTCCTTATGCATCTTCCAATGTGCCAAGGGGGATCTTTCTCATGCTGCAAAAACTTGGTGCAAACAATGGAATCAGTTTCAATGATTAATGGTCCAAAATTACTTTGGACAGCAATTTTAAAAGACTAATAAATAGCAATCCTTTCAGTTTCTGCAGCATCTAAATCCCAAGTTGGTGAGGAGAAATGGAGAACATGGTGTCCAAGGGAGTTTCTGAAAACCCCACCACAACCAGCAGCTCCTTTTAAAAAGCTTTCATCAGTATTAGCTTTCATCCAACCATCAGAAGGAGGAGCCCATTCAATCAATGAGAATTCGGAGCCCATTCAATCAATGAGAAACTGAAATTATACTGAATATCAGCTTGAGAAACCCAATTCCTAAAGATATTAGGGAACTTGTGATATTTGATGATTTTCTATAGGTAAGAAGTGTAATGTGTAGTCACAACTTTAGCAAGAGGTGTAGAACCTTCATATTTAACACTATTTCTGTACATCCATATAAACCAAGCATCTATACAAGGAATAACCTGTAAATTGATCTGTTTCCACTCTTCCCGGCAGTTGTAGAAGTTGGACCAGCTGAGATTCATTGTATCCATTTTGAACTTGGTCAATAACTCAGTCCAAACTTTTTGAGAAAAGTTACATTTAAAGAAGAGGAAGAGGTGATCCAAGGTCTCCTCCTCCATAAGGCACAGAAAATAGACAGAAAGTCCCCTCAGTCCTTTCATTTTCAAGATATCATCTGTTGGGAGCATAGAAAGCCATAATCTCCAACTGAAGAAAGACGTAGAAGTGGTTAGGTGTTTCCCCCAAATGTCAGTGCCCCAGTGAACAGAAGGCCAATGAAAGAGGGTTTGATAGATAAAAGAAGAAATTTTCTGAGAATTGGCATTTTTAATAACAATCTTATCTCTTTGATCAGGATAAATAGGAGTTTGCTGGACCAAATGCAGCTGCTCACTGTTGAGAATATTATAGAGAAGAGTGTAATTGCACTGATTCCCATTCCAGTAATCTTTGACCATATCATGTGGATTGGGGATAGAGGTAGAGCCTTGGATTATTTCACCATTCCAAGTCCACCTATCAAGCCAGAAACTAATTTGGCCTTCTCCAAGCTCCCAGATGAAGGTCTCCTTAGCATGCTCTCTAACCTCTAACAACTTACCCCAAAGTCTAGAGTCACCCATATTTTTGCTAACCTGGCTAGGGTTAGCATATCTACAGTATTTCCCTTTCATAAAAATAGCCCAAAGGCTGTCTTAGGCTCTAAATTTAATCTAAAGTTTGCATATGTTAATGAAACTCAAATGCTGAAACTCTTTAAAACCCAAACCTCCAGCACAGTAAGGTTTGCAACGCTTTTGCTAAGGGAGCCAGTGAACTTGTTTCTTCTGACCAGCCCATAAAAATTTGTTAAACATTCTCCCCAACAGCTTCTGAGTACCTTTCTTCATAGAAAACATTTGTAGTGAATAAGAGGGGAGGGCAGTGAGAATACTTTTAAGGAGAATGATCTTCCCACCATTGGACAAGAAAGAATTGGTCGAGCACTACAATTGGTTTTTAATCTTCTCAATTACCTCATTAAATTGGATCTGTTTGTATCTTCCCTTGGTTAAGAGAACACCCAGGTATTTGATAGGCAATGAAGATAGGTGGAAACTTCTGTAATTAGATATCTAATTTTTTATCTGTTGAGATATGTTAGAGCTAGGAAAAAATTGACATTTAGGAAGATTTAACTCCATACCTGAGGTGAGCTAAAAATGCTTGAGAGCCTTATACAGCATTTTGGTAGCATTCTTAGTGGCCTTAGAGAAAATAATCACATCATCAGCATAAGCCAGATGACTGATACAGACATTAGATTTGTGTTGATATGCCAAATGGGGGGAGCTTAAAAACAATTGATTCAACAATCTAGATATAATCCATAGCCAAAATGAAAATTGTAGGGGATAGGGAGTCCCCTTGTTTGATCCCTCTGGAAGCAGAAAAGAAGCCATGACAAGAACCATTGACAAGCAAAGAATGGTTGTTGCAAAGAAGCCATCTTTTGATCAGCCTAATGAAGCCTTCAGCAAAGCCCCTAGTGGCAAGGGTTTCAAGGATGAAATTCTAGTTGATAATGTCATAAGCCTTCTTAATGTCGAATTTATAGATAACATTACCCCCTCTACATTTCCTGTCCAAGTCAAGCAACATTTGTTCTCAGGATGTTGCATTGGAAGAACACAATGGATTTCATTTTTATGCATTCTTTTATTTATGATGCCTGTTATTTCGGGGATGGTTTGTGGGGTTGCCCGTAAGAAACTATCAGTCTTCGGAATCGAAATCCCGTCGCCCGCTTCGGAAGGACGTTGAAGTATGAAATCAAACTGACCCCATAATTTTCTGACCCCATAATGAAAGAACACTGTACCTCAAATCCTGTATCTATCTCGAAGGATAAACACAAGACTTGAGGATGAGGCTCGATCAAATAAACTAAGGAAAGTATGACGTCTGTTTGGTCTGCAAAACATTTGTATTTGCCGACAAGTTCCCCTATTTAATATAAAGGATTAAATAAGGTTTATATTAAGTTGGGTTCGGACATGCTTCCTATAAGGGCAAGCGACATGCTTCCTATAATATAGTTAATCTATAGTTAATCACATCTTAAATGACCAAAGTCACTCAAGAAAACTCTCGATAAAAATCAAAAAATATTACCTTCAAGGAATTTCAAAGGGTGGGACTCTTAACCGAAATCAGACGTATAAGTGTGAAAGGGGATTGGTTCAAATTTGGAACATTTTATTATAGAATCCAAAAGAAGAAGAACTAGGGGATGTCATGGATCCAAAGGAGAACCTCGGTGACTTCCCAAGCTATCCTAATGTTTGGCTTCAATTTTGAGGAGAAATAT